CCCTTAGCCTTTTTTTTTTGTCTGGGAAGCTATTTATTTGACCTTCTATTTTGTATGATAGCCTTGCTGGGTAGAGTAGTCTTGGATTCAGATCCTTGTTTTTCATGACCTTGATTACCTCATGCCATGTCCTCTGGCTTGTAGTGTTTCTGTTGAGAAGTCAGCTGAGAGCCTTATGGGGTTTCCTTTGTAGGTAACCTATTGCTTATCTCTTGCTGCTTTTAGGATTCTCTCTTTGTCTTGAATTTTTGGCAGTTTGATTACTATGTGTCTTGCTGTGGGCCTGTTTGGGTTCTTCTTACTTGGGGCTCTCTGTGCTTCTTGAACTTGAATGCCTTCTTCCTTCACCCAATTAGGGAAGTTTTCTGTCACTATGTCATCAAATATATTCTCTAACCCTTGCTCATTTTCTTCTTTGTCGGGGACTCCTATGATGTGAATGTTATTACTTTTCCAGTTGCCCCACAGTTCTCTTAAGCTGTTTTCCTGTTTTTAAATTATTTTTTCCTTTCGGTTTTCTGATTGGTTGATTTTTTCTACCCTATCTTCTAATTCACTGATCCATTCCTCAGCTTCCTCTACTCTGCTATTTAGACTTTCCAATGTGTTCTTAATTTCTGATATGTCATTCTTCATTTCTTCTTGGTGGTTTTTAATTTCCTACTGGTTGAGTTTCAACATTTCTATGTCTTTATTCATGGTGCTCATGTCCTTACACATGTTGTTGAGTTTCCTCAAGATAATGGCTCTGAATTCTAGTTCTGTTAAATTGCTTAACTGCACCTAATTTATCTCATCTTCAGTAGAGGTCTCTTATTCTTTCATTTTTTTTTTTTTTTTTCTGTGTTTCACCATTTTGGCTATCACAGTGGGCTTTGGAGCCTGCCAAATTTTCCCTGTGGGTGTTGGTGTTCTGCTGTTTGTGGTTCCCTCTCCTGGTTTTGGATGAGGCAGGGAGGACCCACTTTAAACACCACTGTCAAGTCTTAACTTTCCTAGTTAGAGGTGCTAGCCCAGGGAATGGTAGTTATCCTCTAGCTTTTTTGTCTGGAGGCTATTAGTAGAGGTCACCTGAGGAGCTTTGGTTTCTGAGTTGACTGAAAAACCCCCTCAGGTGCTCAGTATAAGAGGATTTCCTAGGGTGGGGCAGCTGCTGGTTGTTAATGGGCCTCAATTAGCATTTCAATGGCCACTGGATGGGGTTGAATCTCTGAGGGAGGGGCTGCTGCCTCTCCCCAGGGCCCTGGGAAGGAGTATGATGACCACTGTCCTGCCTGGCTGCCCTCAGCAAAAGCTCTGACTACCCTCAAAATCCCGAGTGTCCCCACACAGTTGCAGTCCTGTCTGCCCTCCCTCTACCGGAGCCCAAGGTAAGTGGCTGCTGCCAATTTAGCCTCTGTCCAGGCTCTGCGCCATGGAGCCGCCTGGGACTTTAACCCGAGGGCACCGCTCCCAGCTAAGGGCGGCTGAGGCTGAGGCAGCTTCTGGCTGAGGGCGTAGCAGCCAGCCGTGGCCGCTGGTCCCAGCCAAGGCCGCAGCAGGTCACAGCTGGGGCCACAGGTCCCAGCCCATGCCACAGCAGGTCCAGGTTGAAGCAGCCGCTGATCCCAGCCGAGGCCACAAGTCCCAGCTGAGGGCGCAGCTTCCAGCCGAGGCTGCAGCAGGTCCCAGCCCAGGCCGCTGCGGCCGTGGGCTCCTGGCCCCCTCTCGCGTCCTCGCAAGCCTACCAGTATTGGGTCAGTGTCCCTGGTTATGTGGTCCTCCAAGCTGCCTTTCGGTCGCCCCTTCCTGACGATTTGTCTTTATTTTTGTTGTAATTCCAGTTTGGTCCTGGGAGATGGTCTGTGTAGCTACCATTCAGTAGGCCGCCATTTTTAATCCTATCTCTTTATTAATTAAAGGTCCATCTTTATACTGAGTACTGAAAACATAGGTGAGGAGTCAACTGGACATAATTCATGGCCATTTCATATCAGTTGTTTTAAAGATACATATGAAGATCTGGTGCTGCATTACTTACCATTATGTTAAATGATATGTCCATAAAAATTAATTTTCCAAACGTCTGAATTTAACCTTTCTGTTTTAAGTATTTGTAATACGACTCTTTACAAACCACATTAAATACTTCTCTGCTTAATGCGAAATCTAGTGATCTGATATCTCAGTGGCAAATAATTATTTTGGTTAGTACTTCATCATCCTGAAAAATAGTAACAGCCATCCTAGCTCTTGTGGGCAAGGGCTGTTGCATTAATACTCAAATCGTGACAAAATGCTGTGATTTGGAATTTTAATACTTTTCTAAAGTGGTCAACCTTATACTTGTTACTTTATACCTGCTTTTCAGGTATTTTTATTTGAATTTTTTAATCTCCTGTGGGCTGACACACCACATACCAGCTGACACTTACTGAACTCTTAAGGTTTATCAAACCCCATTCTAAGTGTTTAAATGTGTTTATTCATTTAATTCTTCCCAAATCTCAAACAGGTAGACACTATTACTATGTATGTTTTCAGATGAGAAAACTGAAGCATGGACAGATTAAGTAACTTTCCCAAAGTCACATAGCTTATAAATAGTAGAGCAGGAATTTGAAATTCAGAATTCGGCTCTGCAGTTCATGATCTTCACCATTATTCTACACCCTGTCACACAAGGATGCCTGCTAGAATTATATGTAAACATAAGTGTGAATGGGTATTAATAGGCTAACTGAGTGGAACTCTGAAAAATATTTGAACATTGGTGAGTTGTCTTTGTGACATATATTTTAGTTTTCCACAGAGTGTGTGTGTGTGCACATGCATGCATGTGTATATGTGCATATTTGTATATATTGAATAGGTAAGATGGCCAGAGAAGTGATCTTATTAAATTATAAATATTTTAATTTTACTTTTTGTTAAATTGATGAAACTTGGATACTTTTTTGCTGTTAACTTGCATTACATTGTGTAGCCAGAAAAAGTAGTTATTGAAATGTGTCTATGACTAGTTCTACATGATTTTTATTTATTGAGAATTATGACTTATTGGGGTACAATTACTAATCAATGTCTTTGGAAATCTAAGAATAATGTATTATTTATCCCTCTCCAATATAAAGCACAAGTTAACAACTGACTTTTGCCTTCCTTAATTTAGTTGAGTTCTTTGTATAATCTAGAGAAGAAAACAAGGAGGCAATTATTTAAATAATTATCAATTTCTTTTTATTCAAGTAGCTGTCTCAGTAGGGTGAACACCGACTCACTTTTACCCCAAACTCAGAGTAAACACTTTGAAAAATCACGTTCTAGTTGTTGCGAGATAATTTTCCATGTGTCTCTTGCATTTTGCATGCCTTGTGAGCAGAATCATTGGCTGCTTTTGTTCTGTTTTGTGTTGCATAGAAAACAACCTTGAAAATGAAGAAAGTGTGTCCCTCCAGAGAAAAGGGCAGGTTTATTTATTGTCCAATATAATGACAATAATGTTTCCCTCCAATGCAAAGGACAAGTATTCTTCCTCCCCATTATAAAAAAATTAGGATTCCCTAAACTTGGGGTTCATCTTCCATAATGCAACCCACTGTGTGTGCAGGGGTCCTCTCGCAATCTTTGTGTTGTCCTTGGGACTCAAGGAACTGGTGCATACTCTGGCTATTGCTATTGCTGTGAGCAATAAAGTTCTTTTTCTCTGTCTTCTGCCAGCATTTATGAAACCCTGTCAGGCTAATTTGTTAGCTTATAGGTTGAGTAAAATCTCAGAATCTTTAAAGTTTTTAAAATTTGTTATTGTTTTAAAATTTTTTCTCAGATTTTTACATTAATTTGGAATCAGCTTCCCTTTAGAAGAGTGAGTTTTTGTTTCTTTGCTGTGGATTCAGTACAGACATGGCAGGTAGCATATGCTTTGTTCACCTGTAAGGTGACATGACAATTATTAGTTACGTTCTACCTTCTTTTCTTTGCCCCTCATCCCCCATTTTCCTTGCTCATGAATTTTTTTCTCTTTTCATTCCTCCTCTTCTTTCTGAATTCTCTTCTTTGGCCACCATACTTACTCGTTAGCCTTTTGAATTAAAGCTAAACACAAATGCCCTGGCCAGTTTGGCTCAGCAGTTGGAGTGTTGGCCTGCGGACCAGAGAGTCCTGGCTTTGGTTCTCGCTAGGGGCACATACCAAAAAAAACAACAAAACAAAAAAACTAAACACAAACAAAAACCTTGCTAGTCCTTTTTAGTCAAATGTCAAATTCTGACCTGGTAGAACTAGATGGTGTCATTTCAGAAAGTCCCCCATGTGTATTTCTGTAGCAGGCAATGGACAGAGGTGTGTGTTCATGATGAGAAAGGAATAGATTGATTTCTGCCCACCAGTATGTTTCAACAGCAGACTGGGAAAATATTCCTGATCCTTTGGGAAAAGTTTCTGACCAAAAGAACAATAATCAAATAGTGAATACTACTACTAATAATGAAACTACATTTTTGAAAACCTGGAATCAGTCTGTCAGGAGTTGGCTCTCTATGGCCTGTGCCCCAAATCTGGCCTATCACCTTTTCTGTTCATGAAGTTTCATTGGAACACAGCTACATCCGTTCATTTGCATATTGTCTATGGCTGCTTTGGAATTGCAGTGGCAGAGATGAGCAGTTGGAACAGAGATCACATAGCTTGCAAAACCGAAAAGATTTACTATCTGGCCCTTTACCAAAAAAGTTTGCCAGCCCATGCTCTAGATGTGTTTTATACCAGTAATTCTCAATTTCGGATTGTGAGGAAGACAGAAGAAGGAGTAAGTTCCTTAGAGTCGCCTGGTCAGGCTTTTCAAAAGTTCCCATCTCCATCTCCCCTCCGGCTTCTCACAGGTGTCCCCCTTTGAGAGTCACTGTTTTAAACTTTATGATTCAGTCCTTGGTTCCATTAACTGATACAGATTGTTTGTTTTCACCATTTTGATTCACTATAACACACCCAAAGTAATACTGACAGTGTTATTTCTTTTACAGGGTTGTGGGAAGAAAATGTATTCCTTTTTGAGAGGAACCAAACAACTGCAGGTGCTAAGGTTTCTGGGAATCTCCATTGGAGTGACACAAATCCTGGCCATGATTCTCACCATTACTCTGCTCTGGGCTCTCTATTATGATAAAAGGGAGCCTGGCACAGACCAAATGATGTCCCTGAAGAATGACACGACTCAGCACCTGTCATGTCACTCGGTGGAACTGTTGAAACCAAGCCTGACGAGGATCTTTGAACATACATCCATGGCAAACAGCTTTAATACACACTTTGAGATGGAGGAATTATAGAGGATGTGAAAAAAGGAAACAACAAGTTTATTTTATTTTACTTGTGAATTTTTGAGCACACAATTGTTTCAGAAATGTGTAGAAATAAAAATGTTGCCATGAAACAATGCCTAAGCATGTAATTTTGTACCCTTTAAAATGAAGAGGGAAAAGTTCCATATATTGTGTCACCACCTGGACAATAGTTGATACCCTTTATAATGCTGAGGACAGATCTAATACCCACTTTATAGCTTGTGTAAGATTTTTACTAAACACAGTTATGCTTTGGTACAGATTGACCAGTATTTCTGCATGTAAATGAGCTGTGGTGGCAGTGAACTATACAGTACAGTTTGATTTACTTCCGTAGGCTTGCTAGTATATAAAGCACCAATTAACTGGTAACAGGGAGTTAGACAGTACTAATGATTTTTATTTCTTGGTGATATATTCCTTTGAGGGTAAAATAGATTAGACATAAGAAAACTCTGAAGATTGGTGGCTACCTAAATGTGATTTTTGCTAGTTACTAAAATATTCTTACTACTTACAAGAGCAAACTAATACATTGTCTTAAACTGATCAGGGATCTATGTGTATGTGAGAGTCTGTGTTAAGTCTGTATAATTCAGTAGATTTTAGTTCTTGTAATGTTAATAACAATTGTGAAAAGAATAAATTTGATCTCTATAACACCATTATTTTTAACCTTTCCTATTAATTGAGTTTTAAAATTCTGTCTTGGTTTTATATTACACACACAACTGTTAATTTAAATATTTAACCACTAATTTTGAAAAATTGCTAGTGTGTTACAAAGGAATCATTATAATTCAGAATGTAGTCTGGTCTCCAGGGAGCATTAACAAGAAAGTTTACACATAACTTGGTTCATTTAACAAAGACTTGGATACTATCTTTCTCCCAAACTCACTCTTTTTGACACTAAACATTTTTTTTAGAGAAGCTTATCTTTGCCTTCTCCAAACAATAAGCAAGGGACAGTATCCAAGTCTGAATATAATCCTACAGAGAACAGTATTACCTTTATCCAGCAAAATGCTGTGAGAACCATAAAAGTAAGTGACAACTAGATAATTTCTTAGCTTTATTTCACTGATTAGGATACTATGGTGAATTACACAGATTATTAAATTTTTACAAGAGTAAAATATATTTATTTGAAATGGGAAAAGTGCATTTTACTGTATTTTGTGTATTATGTTTATTTCTCAGAAAATGGAGAGAAAAGTAAAACTTGTCAATAAATATTTTCTAGAGAATAATTTGTCTGTCTAATTTTTATATGTTGCAAACACTTTTACCACTCAAGAAGATCTGCAAAGGATGAAAAATGTGAGAATAAATGATTTAATATAGTAATAATAATAATTTCCAAATTCAAGCTAATCTATAAGAATATGTATCTTCACTGAGAAAAGATAAAATGATGTCCATTTACTTTTCAAGTTTGATTTTGAGCTAGATGATAAATAGCGTAACTCTTTGATATAATATAAAATGTGCCCATTTATGTTCATATCCAAGTTTTTAAAGTAATTTTTAAGAGAAAATGAGCCCAAGGAATATAGTATTTTAAATCAACAGCTAGATTTCATCTCTTCCATAGATTTAAATGAAAACTGAGTAAATAACTTGCTCAATCAGAATCAAAAGCAACCTTTTTTATAATTTCCTCAGCACCCCAATTCCCCATAATTGTATCTAAAAACCCAAGTAAGTGAAGCAGCTATGAGTGTTATTTGAGTTATTTGAATAACAGTCAAATTTGGCTGCTTCTCTTTTAATGCCACTATGGTGTTACCTCAAAAATTCAAAATTGAACTGTCATTTGACCCAGTGATCCCACTTCTAGGAATATACCCTAGGAAGCCTGAAACATCAATTAGAAAGAATATATGTACCCCCATGTTCATAGCAGCACTATTTACAATAGCTAAGATCTGGAAACAGCCCAAGTGTCCATCAGTAGACTAATGGATAAAAAAGCTGTGGTACATATACATAATGCAGCTATAAGAAAGAAAGATATCATATCCTTTGAGATAACATGAAGGAACCTAGAAAGTATTATCCTAAGCAAAACAAGCCAAACAGAGAAAGACAAATATCACATGATATCACGTATTTGTGGAATATAATGAACATAGCAGTCTCTGGAATAGGGTAGACCCAGACACGTGGAAGTAGCATACAGACTGACAACCCTCAGAAGAGGGGGTGGTAGGGGAGGGAAGAGAAAAACCACAGAACGTACATGCATGTACGCATAACCGATGGACACGGACAATAGAGCCAGGTACTGGGTCGGGGGATTGGGAGGAGGGTGTCAATGTGGTAAAAAAGGAGAAACATCTGTAACAAAAATAAATTAATAATAAAAAATAAACAAGCATGTGTTATTGAACTTGGTTAAAAAAATTTTAATTTATAAATAAAAGTCAATTTCTACATTTTTTAGACCAGATATTTTGATATATTGCCTGATTTAATACTCTCTAGAACAGTATACATAAATTTAGACAATCATCTTACATACTTATGCACTTGCTTAATGGGAACAAATGAAATCTATAGTAGAGGTCTACAAAGGCCTCTTATGGTAGCGGTGCACCTGGAATAATAAAACTGCAAGAGATTTTAAAAAGTGTATTTAGCCCAGCGTGGTGTGGCTCAGTGGTTGAGCATCAACCCATGCACTATGAAGTCGCCAGTTCGATCCCATGTCAGGGCACATGCCCAGGTTGTGGGCCTGATCCTCAGTCAGGGGGTATGCAGGAGGCAGCCAATTGATGTTCTCTCTCACTGATATTTCTATCTCTCTCCCTCTACTTCCTCTCTCTCTAAAATCAATAAAGAAAAAATTTTTTTTAATATATGTTATTTTGACCGGCCAGTGTGACTCTGAATTGAGCACCCTCACGTGGACTGAGAGGTCCCAGTTTGATTCCCAATTAGGGCACATGTTTGGGTTGCAGCCTCAATCTCCAGTAGGGGGCATGCAGGAGGCAGCCAATTGATATTTCTCTCTCACATCGATGTTTCTCTCTCTTTAAAAAAAACCAATGAAAATATATTATTTTAAAAGGATATGTTATTTGGGGGGTAGCACCCATCGTTCATTGTGGTTAGAGCTCAGAATGCTTGAAGAGATATCATGGAGAAGGAAATGGATGAAATTTGGGTTTGGGGGTTTCATTGTATAATTTCAATGGAGAGTGACTGAAGTATTTTCAGAAAGAGAAGTGATTAGTGTTGCAGAAATCTGACTGTATTAGTCAAGTGAGAAACAGGGCAGGAAGACAGGTGAACCCATTGTATAACTCCCCGGGATGGGCTGTTCTTTAGCTAGTCTAGGTATGGCACTCTCTGGGGTTGTAGACCCCAGAACTGAGCTGGCTAGATTGCTTTTGCTGTGGGCCTGGAGAGAAAGAATAATCTTCACCAGCACAATGGGAGTCAAAAACAGCATATAAACAGCTTACAACAGGGTGAATGTACAAAAATGGGCAGCAGATTAATCTTGGGGAATGTTGCATGAGAACTGAAAGAACTGAAATTTCTAAATGTTGTACCTGGTAAATCGGCAATGGCATTAACCTAGATAGAAGACTGGAAGGGGAACAGCTGTGTGGGTGGGTGAATAATTTGATTTGGACACACAAAGTTGCACATGCCTGCAGGACATGCAGATGGAGATGTCTGCAGGCAGCTGTACCTTCCATTCGGGAGCTCAGGAGAGCTCACTGTCAAGTCTGAGAATTTCTGTGCATTGCTTTCAGAACTCCGAAGCCTGACAGAAAATGGGCTGAGAATCAAATTTTCTTTGAGGAGAATCTTAAGCAGGATGCTGCAAGAGCTTTCTTTTGTCTGAACTCCCACTCCTGCAGATGAGTCAATGCAGGTTAAAAAAAAGAAGAAGAAGAATACATAACTTAAAGTTCTGTGGCAAAAGGAGCAGCCCCCTTTAAAACAATACTGCCAACTGCTATGTGGCTTCACCCAGTCCCCCTTCTATTATCATGGTGTGATTTATTGTGATTTGTAAATGGATTTGTCTTTCCTATTAACTGAGTTCTTATTTCCTCATATTCAAGTACCTCATAGAAACATATATGGGAGAGGTTTTTATATCATCTTAAAAGTTCATTTACTTTTTTTTTTTAATCCTTACTTGACGATATTTTTTCATTGACTTTTAGACAGTGGAAGGCAGGGAGGGAAGGAGAGAGAGAGAGAGAGAGAGAGAGAAACATCGATGTGAGAGAGACACATTGACTGGGTCAGCCTGCTGTGTGACCCCAACTGGGGCCAGAAATTGAACCTGCAACCCAGATACATGCCCTTGACTGGGAATCAAACCTGCAATCCTTCGGTCCTTAGACCAGTGCTCTTACTGCTGAGCCAAACTATCCAAGGTGAAAGTGCACTTATTTTCTATTTCAATACGTTATTGTGCTCATTCTTTATCTCATGCATTTGTGCATGCCTACTAGGTGCCTGGCCATATGGTGCTAGGTGTTTTACACATACTTTTTCTGCTTATTACAATTGTTTGTAATCTGTAGGTACCATTAACCTCATTTTACAAATGAACCAAAAGGATTTAGTGAAAATGAGAAAATTTATTTAACAAGTGGTAGTGCTCTCCATCCCTCCTTCTCCATTTTCTGAGGCGGCATCTTCATCCGCCTGTGGGGAAACTCAGCTGATGCCTTACACAGAAAAACCAGATCTTTGACACGGGCATAAATGTCTCTAGGTTTGATTTGTCTCCAAAGTCTTACTTCTTCCCTCAAGATGACTCTTCTATCTAATTTCATTCTTTCTCTTTTCCCAGAACAAGTCCTAATTACCTAAAGCTTTGATTGAAGCCATAAATTGCCCCCCCCCACATCTGTTTCCTCTAAATGACCTATCTTGCATATATACACACAATTTTATTTAATAAACTTTATGAGAAGATATATATCACCTATTTTAAGTATCAGATTTCCTGGTTCACCTGGTTCCAAATGGCACAATCTACTTCCATATTTCTGGCAGCAGGCTCGAGAAGGGACAATGAAAGGGGAGACGGCATGGTGCCTCTCTTTAGGGATATCCCCAGAAACAGACATCACTTCCACTCACATCTCACAGCTATGGGGACTGGGGAGGCAAAGGTAGAAACAATCTTTGTTTGACACCCATGTATCCAGTTAACCTGGAAGTTCTGTGACCACAGAAAAAAGGGGGAAACGTGTTTTTGTGTCAACTAGCAATCTCTGTTACATTTCTCAATACCTGCAGAATAAAATCTACTTGAACTTAGTTTTCAAAGCCCAAATCCTAATACTTTCCCACATGTCACTATACACTAGCCAGATGGGTCAACCATGGTCTACTCATTGCCTCTAACACCCCACATATCCCATGCCTCCTTGATTTTGCTCACATTGTGGTGCTTCTCTGACATACCTTCATCTTCACAGGTTCACCTTGTACTCAGCCTTCAAATCCCAGGTCAGCAGCCACTTCCTACATGAAGCTTTCCCCAGCCACTCACTCCGCAGCACTCTTTCCTACTCTGAGCTCAGCATTTATTTGTGGCTAGTTTAGTTCTTGTATTTTATATTTTATAATAATATATAGTTTTGTTCTTGTATTTTTAATTTTATAATATTAATTTTATATTAATATATTATTTATATAAAATAATGTTAATATTATTTTTATTGTCATTTTGTTTGTATGTCTGGTCTCTCTTGAGAACAAATATTATGTTGTTTTGTATCCCACTCAACATTTTGGAAAAGGCTAGATAGTGTTTCTTATCCATCAGTTGCATATTTACTATTCACTATGAGTATGAATTAAAAAATGCATGAATTATGAGTCAGTTTAATGAATCAAAAGCCACTGTCCAGCCCTGACCAGGTGGCTCAGTTGGCTAAAGTATCTTCCTATACACCAAAGGTTGTGGGTTCAATTCCCTTTCTGGGTACATAAAAGAGGCAACCAATTGATGTTTCTCACATCGACGTTTCTCCCTCTCTCTCAAATCAATAAACATATTCTTAGGTAAGGATTAAAAAAAAAGCCATTGTCCAAAATAATTCCAATAAGGAGAAACTGCACTAAAGGAGGTCGTTTATTTTTGACTAGGGTAGAGGATGCTGGGTTATCATGGGCTAAGTACTTAGTTAGCTATAAATGGATGTAGACTGGATCTGCAGAGTGCGTTTAAAGCTTAGTAAAGTCTTATAAATGTCTGAGTGA